TGGCTCTCTCTGACATGTCGCATCGGACGCCCTGTTCGAAACGACCGGACGCTGAGCCGTAACGTTCGGTCGAGTCCAGTAAGCCCCTAGGGCCGACCGGACGCGTTCGGTCACTCCAGACTAGACGCTCCCAGCGTCTGATCAATTATAGCACTAAAACCTAAGACTGCTGAGTCATACCAGACACGTCCAGTATGACGACCGGACACGTCCGGTCGCTGTCTGCGATCCTGCCTCAGGCTATGTCTCTTTGACCGTACACCGAACAGTAACTCCTCAGCGTCCGGTCACTCCTCTGAGCCAGAGTCTGATCACTTTCACTTAGTTGCTCACCTTGGGTCCAAATATCGGACGTGTCCGGTAGCCACACCGGACGCGTCCGGTCACTCCTGTCAGACTACCCGAAGTTTGGATAACATACTGGACACGTCCGGTATCCACACCGGACGCGTCCGGTCACTCTGTGACCAGCGCGACTAACTCCTTTTCTTCACCAACTTCTTCTTCTTTGTAAATGTGCCAACACCACCAAGTGTACACCACCATGTGTATGTGTGTTAGCTTTTCACAAACATTTTCCAAAGGATTAGCCACTCAACTTGCCACGCCACTCGATCCTAGCGACGATGCAAAGTTAGATCACTCGAGTGGCACTAGATGACCGATATGCAAATAAGTTTGCCCCTCTTGATAGTATGGCCATCTATCATAAACCCAGTCATAAACTTCTCTATACACCTATGACCGGTGAAATAAAATGCCCTAGGTTATACCTTTGTCTTGCGTATTCCATTCCATCTCCTCCAATGTCGATGCAACACATGCACCAACACGATCAACAATGATATGATTCACTTCATATCATCACGTGATCATATTGGTTCATCGATCTTGACTTCACTTGCTTTCACCGTTGCCTTCGTCCATCGGCGCCAAGTCTTGCTCAAGCTTCACCGCCACGCGGTCCATCACTCCAAAGCCTTCGACTTGCCCTTCACGCTTGCATCTGGTCCATCAAACCAAGTCATGTCTTGATCTTCTCCACCTTGATCACATGACTCAATGTCATGTCTCATTTGCAATGAGCTCTTTCATCATCACATGTGTGAGCTTTGCAACATCTCCAAGCCATTTTCACCTTCATGGCATATGTTGCTCACATACATGTACCTGTGGACTAATCACCTGTGTATCTCACATAAACACAATTAGTCCACCTAGGGTTGTCACTCAATTAACAAAACAACACAAGGACCTTTCAGCACCGTAGGAACTTCCTGAGCATGGAAACAAAAGAAGGCCGCCTCAACTTTCTGCAGATCTGCTGGGATGATAGGAGATCTAGATCCAAGTAGATGTTATTTGAACAAGTGCTCCCACTGTAGCAGTCTATGTAGTTTTATTTGTCAAAACGTGCATGTTGAGTTCTACTATATCGTTGAGAATATTTGTTTAAGTTCCATCGTTCTAATGTGGCCTGTGGCATGAACATTGTGTGCTGTTTTTCCTAGTATCCAAATAAAATGTGTTATGTGATGTAAATATCTTTGTTCAACAGACATTTTGTTTTTTCATGTGTTATGTGGTGTACTGGCTCCGCATTATTCAGGACGAGGTAGCTGTTACAGCCATCACAGAGTCCCAAGGTATGAATCCTTCTCTACATTTGTGTGCACATAGGCAGTATATGCTCCTTGCTTCCTAACTTGCTCTTAATTGGTGTTGTAGGTTCATCTACAATTGCAAATAGAGTATCATTATTAATTGGTGTTCTAGGTACTGCTCACATTTAATCCTTCAATGGTACGTAAACAAGACAAGACTCTTTTATTGTACCATTGAAACCTGCAGACCCTTCATATGGACCCAACCAATTTGAAGGTTCGTATTTGATACTCCATTAACTCATTTCTTCAGAAACTAGCCGTCCAAATTTAGGACTAAATCAAGTTTTTGCAGATGAGCATCACTGAGGACTCCAACAACAGCGACAACTCTAGCGAAGGACCGCCCATTTTTGACTTGGCTGCTGCTGCTGTCCTGCTTGCAAAGTACAAAGCAACAGTGGCTAATGCGGCTACAGTGGTGAACCCGGACCTCCCCTTCTAGAAGATGACCGGGCGACAGTGGATGGAAGTCAATCTATGAAACGAACGAAAGGGCTTGGACAACTTGCGTATGTCTCCTGATAACTTCCTGTATTTGTATGATATTTTACTTGGGTTTGGACTAAAGGGTACACGATAGACATGATCCCTAGAATGTTTAGGTATATAAGTGTGGACTTGTGCTCACAACCAGGCATTTCAAAGGAGCAGGGATAGATTTGAACGGTCTTTAGATACAATTAGTAGGAATGTGAGTCATGTCATCGAGGTTATGTGTAGGTGGGCAGACTATATTCTTGTTTCAACTGATAGCACTTATGCTGGAGTAAAATGGCAACTTGGAACATATGCACCATTCTTTGATAGATGCATCGGGGCTTTGGATGGCACTCACGTTAAAGTTAAGGTGAATAAGGAGGCAAAAAATGACCATATAAATAGGAAATGAGATGTAAGTATTAATGTTTGTGCCATTGTCGACATGGATGGCCACTTCACATATGTCGGTGTGGGGATAACGGGTTCGGTGCATGACATGTCGGTTCTAAAACAATGTTGGGAGGAACCAAACTTCCCGCATCCACCACACGGTGAGTGACGATTGCCATACAATTATTTGACCTACATTTTTAGTTGTTTGGGCAAAAAATAAAAACTAATTGTGCAAATGGTTCATGTGTTGCAGGCCGCTACTATATGGTGGACGCTGGATATGCACTAGAGTCTGAATACATGGGTCCTTTCAAAAATACAAGGTACCATTTGGATAATTTTAGGGGTGTACCTGTTGAGACTATGTCTCGACAGGAGAAATTTAACTTGACTCGTTCTAGGCTATGCAATGTCATCGAACGGATATTTGGGGTTCTGAAAGGCCGGTGGCACATTCTGGATGGGGTACCTTACTACCATAGGGCCAAGCAAAAGATGATTATTATGTTATGCTTTGCACTGCACAATTATTTGTTCATTCGGGAACATGGATTTGGATCCCCTACCTACCCACCGTCTGCCTGGGTGCAGCTCAATGCAAGTAATACTATGACAGCAATGAGGGAGTACATATCTTTGGGGCTCTAGGGAGAATGATTGTGCAGAGGTGATGTAACTTAGGATGGAAAGTAGGTGAATTCAAGATAGATTGGCTGTGGTTTGAATTATATACTTGGTAGTGCATGCAGGCGTAGGACGAAGACGAAGGTGTATGTGCAGCTGTAGGTTTCGTGAGGACTTATCTAGCCGAAGACTTATCCGTGCAGTTTGCTTTGTGGCTTCATGAAAGCTACAAGTTTTGTAAATGTTGCATGTATGCGTAATTGTATAACCATGGACTGGTCCAATATGTAGGTACTGCTATGTTGTATAAAGTTGTTGTCTGGAATGTTGTAAAGGACTGTAATTTGTATTTATGGTTAGAATCTACTGAGGCATGTAAGAACTGGTATGTAAACTTGACCAATATTTCAAGTTCGACTAGGTCAATGTGTGTAATGTATAAAACTTGTGGTGTTCAATTAACTTGTTTGTCAACGGTTGGTTAGAAGTGGCAATGGCATGCCTACTGTACATGCGCTGCTTGGCTGGCTCAAGCTTGCTGTCTGGCTGCTTCAGCAGTAGGCTCAAATCAGCCAAAGTGAGCTATATGTAGCTTGGAGAGGGCTACAAGTTTTGTATATTCGATTTGACTTATGCCTAATTGAATAATTATGTATGAAGTAGAGGACCGTGGAGTTATTACAAAATTTATTAGTTAATTAAGTGTGTATAAACTGTGATGAATGTTTATAAGGCCTCGTGTGTACAACTGTTGTTGTGGCGCCAGTTTACACTACATTCATTGCATTTAGCGTCATTTTTTAAATTTGAGTTGGATACAGATCGAAGTGGCCGGAACGACCGAAGGTGGCTGCTGCTTCGGCTGGTTTCCAGCTGCTTGGCTGGCGAGAACTGTAGCAGCATCAGTCTAGCCGCTGAAAAATGGACCAGCCGAACAGAAAGTTTCAGGCTTCTTCCAGTTACTGCAGCTGTTCCAGATCACTGTAGCTAATAACTAGCTATTGAGTGCACGGGGGCACGCGGGCCCCACGCGAGCAGCCCATCAGCATCAACAACAGTCAACAGACTAGTCCTCACTCCCTCTCCTCCCCCGCCGTTCTACCGCTACTTCTCTCGTCTCTCGGTCTCTCCTCCCCCGTCGCTCGTCTCCGGTTGGTTAGCCAGCCAGCCAGCCTCCGTCTCCCGCCCCGGCGCTCTTCCTGCATCCCCGACGTTCCCCGCCTGCGGTGAGCGACTCCCGGCCCCGCCCAACTCACTGCGGATCTTTCTGTCGGCCGGCCGAACCCCGCGCCCTCGCCCCCCCCCCCCCCCCGGTCCTTTAGCGCCGTTCTCTTTTCCCCTGCTCTGTTCTGCATCTGAGCTGAGCCCTGCCTCTACTTCCCTTCCGCCGGATTGCTTCTTTTTTTTTTTTTGAAGGTCGAGCGGATTGCTTCTCTCTTATTCTTCCGCCGCGGCCTGCGCCCGTCCGGTCAGACGTGGTTAGATTCTTCCGGGATAAGATTCTCCAGGCTCCACGGCCGCTTTTTCCTCCCCGGAGGCGGAGGATCATACGCGTACGCGTACACGCACGAGCATCAGCATAAAGCTCGCGTTTTTTTTTCGTATCCGGGACCCCGAAATCCCGAACCTTTTTTTTCGGCGGGGAACAAAACAAAGGGGGGAGGGCGGGGCATTAGTTTCTGCGCCTCACATGCTCGATCGATCGATCTGGCGATTTCAATTTCTTTGTTCTTCCGAGAAGTTCCTTGTCTTCATACAGTCGTGGCCTCGTGGGCGTGCTAGGTGGGTGGGCGGAGGAGGTGGAGGTTCCTGGTAGCGCACGCCCGCCCGCCGGCCATGGAGAAGAGGAAGCGGGTCCTGGAGCTGCGGGACCGGCTGGACCGGACGCTGGCGATGCCCGACCTCGCGGAGGAGGCCTCGCTCAGGGCGCTGGTCAAGAAGCAGATCCTGGCGTCGTCCCTGTCCGGCTCCGATCAAGGTGCTTGCTTTGCTCTGCTTACTTCCTCTCTGCTCTGCTCACGTGGTTGATCTATTTCTGAGTGAACATGAGCTTATTAATGGCAGTGATGATTGTACCCTTTTTTTTTTTCTTACCAATCAATGATCCATTCGAGCTTTTTATGGTTTGGTCCGTAAATATCCATCCTAGTACTACTACTACTACTAGAGAAGGTGTTAAAAAGGGGTTGCTACCTGAAGGCTTTGATTGTGGTAGCATATTTGCTGGCCCTATATGTACATGGATGAATGCCTGCTCGCTGTTTCTTGACTAGTGCGTTTTGTGTGTCCTCTTTTAGGCGATATCGATCTCATCGCTGAGACGCGGGCCAGAGAAGTCTCCGAGTTTCTTGAAATGCTGAATACTTCAAGGGATGGGCTATCTTCAAAGGTTCGTGGGGTGCCACAGAAGGAGTGGAAGGTATGCCCCACCGTTTCCCATAATGCAACATTTCACTTCTGTTTGTGATTTCTATATCTTAGATGGTATGTTGCTTCAAAATTGTCTAGCCTGTACCTCTCCAATTTTGGGGATTGATTAGTTCCTCTTTTAGGTTTCTAAGTAAATGCTTATGAGTGACTGCAGTGATCTTTAACTACTTTTTGTTGGCAGGTGAAGCAAGATACAGACCAATTAAGAGTTATGTACCGTGAGGGTCCAGATGGGACCCCATTTCACACCCTTCTTGCTGAAGGCTTTGCTGATGGACCTATTGACGTTTGTAAGTAATTTTAACCGTCAGCCAGTCAGATACTACAGGTTCACATACTCGCAATAAAGCACACTTTTTTTTTCATAGGTACATGTGTGTCGTGGGAATCAGCTCTATACAAAAAATGGTGAGCACAATGTTTTCCTGAAGTTTTGTTAAAAATTTCACATTCTCAGAAAACTACACATGGTATTCTCTAATTATGTTCAACTTTATGTTGCAGAATTAATGTTTGTACATTAAAACATATAGTTTTTTTTTGTTTAATTATGGCATTTAGGAAACAAACCATCTAAATGTTGCAGTTCCAGACATAGATTTACCATTTTAGTAGACTCTAAGCACAAAGTGAACTCACAGGCTTAACCTTTTTCCCCTCACTGTAGCCACATGGTCCACACCACCATACGTCCATACCCACTTCTAGTTAGGACCTGAAGGTGTACTGGTACATCATCTATTTATAGTATTCGATAAAGACAGCCTAAAGTTCTCTGTTGCCAATAATTATGGACTGAGGTGATCCCCCACTGACTAAATTTGGGAAAAATTTGAGGGGTCATGCTAGGGCTTATTAGCTATGCTATTGTTATGACAGTTCCAGTCTCCAACCGTTTCCTTATATGTTTAGGCATCTTGGTTCCTTTTCTGATATTCAACATGCACGTGTGTCGTAATTAAGTATTTTGAGTCAACCTGGGAAAAATAACACAAAAATATAGTCTTTCATGTACTGATGAGGTTGTTTTTCTCCAGGTTTCCACAATACAACCTTCCAACTTTTAGAATTGATCAGTCAGGCTGCTTGAAAAAGGTCCGAATTGGTGAAGATATTTGTATGGTCAGGTTGGTTGCAGACTACTTGCTTGTTACAGTTTTACTTATACTTAGGAACTAAGCCTAGCTTAGTTGGTGGAGGGCATAGATGTTTTCCCAGACCACCTAAGTTCAAGTCATTGAGGCAAATTTGGGTGCCCATTTCTTCTTCTTAATTCTTAATGAAAAGCCACCAAATTCCTCCTCGGTTGGTCAAGTCTTTTTAGAGTTTTACTTATACTTCAATTTATGGTGGTTGTAGCTAATATGTTTATTCGCTATTTGGAAGAAAGGGTGAAGGTTCCATGGCCAGTTTCAGAGAGAGAGGCTCTTCTACACTATTTTGAATTGGAATATCTTAAAGAAGATGTCGTCATTGTGATAATGAAAACTGTGCGTACTTTTTCTTCTGCATTTTTAAATTCTTTTCTGGGAAACTCTCCCTACAACCTTGATGAATTGTTGCTATATGCCCTAGTTTATTGAGTGCTTATTGACTTGTTTGCAGTTATCAGACTTGGATGGCATAGATGTACGAACTCATGGATTTAGTAGGGATGGAATTCCTGAAGCTGGTGACACGGTTCGAATAGATGTGTTTGGAGGCTTTGTATTGCAAAGGATTACAAAAGAAAGAAGCTTTTTCAGGTGAAGCATATTATAGACCACTCCCTTGGCTATGGAAGGAACCATGCATCTTTAGCTTGAGTATAATTTTACTAGCTTAAGTGAAGTAATAGTAATCAAATGCAATTATTTTGTTTATCAATTTGTTTTTATAAGCCATCTAATTTCACCTTACTGCTTAACACTATTCACTAAAATTTTCTTTTAGGAATATACTGGTAATGCATTTTTTAAGTATTTCTTTTTTCATTCTAGCATTATTCATTTCTCAGCTTTAAAAATATACTGTGTTCATTTTTCTTTAATTAAATCCTTTATCAGGGCAATAGCTAATATGGATATTAAGCTAGATTTTGTTCCACCATGGTTGATCAACTTCATATCAAGGCAACTAATTGGCAGCGGGCATAAGCTGTATCAGAAGGTTAGTGGCTGGTAATATTTTGCACATTTCATGCTATGTTCTCTACATAGATTCCCCTGGACCACAGTGTGTGGTGGGGTGGTAAATCAGTGCATAGGGAAATATTGCATGCTAATTGATGAGCATGACGGCATGAGATTCTAAATAAACACTAATAACCTGCTGAAGCACTTCTATTGGAATGTCATGCAGGCAGTCAGTACTGTGGCCACTCATGATGATGACTACAGGAAAGCTTTGAGAGGCCCACTCTATGTCAGAATCCGTGAATACCAGGATTCTGATGACAAAACAAAAAGGTGACCGCAGCAGAGGAAAATGCTACTGAGGTGCCCCCTGCTAATGCCACTATACAAAATCATTTGTCACTAACAAATACCATATCGAATAGTGAGATTGTTGAGGAGGAGACTGAACAGAACACATCCATCAATGTGGATAATCTTCCTACTAGCCATCCCTATGAACCAGTTGAGCAAGCACAACAGGTCGAAAATAAACCTTATATCAGTCCTGAGGTAGAGCGTGCATTGTGCATATTGGACAGTGCTATTGCAGTTCTCAAAGGCGATAAGGCTGGAAATGTTACCACGCTACAAAATTTGCTCAGTTATGATGCAACTTTGGAAGAGAGTACTGCTGGTTTGAGAACTTCACAAACAAACATTCTTAATGCAGACAATCTTCTGATTGACCATCCTATTACCACAGTGCCACAAGACTCCAGGTCAGCATGAAAGATTATTGATTTCTTTTGTGGTACATTTACATTTCAGTTAGTGGACCATTTGTGATCCAACCTATGTTGTCCTTGATGCAGAGATACCCGACAAGCACATTCATTGGCCAGTGAGAAAATTAGCAATAGTGCAGAAGACGCCATCGACAAAAATTCTCTGAAAAATTCGACAGCTTCTACCGTAACAAAGACTATGTCAATGACATTGCGAAGTGCAATAAGGGTGCATGGTGAAGAGAGCCTAGACACTAATGGCTTCCATCAGAATGGTTCCGGCAACAACAAAGAGTCAAAACCAGCAAGGAAGACCAAGAGATGGCTCTGCTGCTTAACCCCTACCACCATTGGATGATGGGACCCATCATAAGACTTCATTCAAAGCTAAGTTGCTGATTTTTTAGTGTACAATAGCAGATAGTAAATTATAGAAATTTAGCGCTTCATCGGTTACACGATGTGGGTTCAGATGTCAAGTCAGGAGGCTGCTTCTTGCTGTCATAGCTCGTAGATAATATCTTGATAAATGTAAAGTTGTATTGTCGTGGCTCGCTGAATCTTAGCTGAAACTGGCTGAAAAACACTGTTTTGGCTGAATTGTTGTGAGAGAAAAACACTGTTTTAGCTGAAAAAATAAGCTGAACAAGCCGAATATGGGGTAAACCGAACGGGGCCAAGTAATTCTTTTCATGAGGGCCCAGATTTGGGTTCTGGGTATGTAAGTACAGATACTACTATCGACACGCAGGGTAAGATTAGTTCCTTCCCGTTAGAGAAGGAATTGCAGTGACATTCAGTGAACTCTCGGAGATGTGCATCATAATTTTGCAGCCAACATTGTGAGTTTGTGGCATTTGTTGTGGGCAGTAGTCTCTGGTGATTCGAAAAAAAAAAGTCTCTACAGTACCAAGCCAATGTGTTTGGATGTTGATGTCAGGCAAATTAAGTAAACCTGCAGTTTATTTAGTAGTAACTAAGACAAAGTTGGCTAGAAAGGCTACTTCAAATGTTTGGTTTGGTAGGTACTGCAATTCTCCAAACAAGTTCATATATGCTACTTTCATATACTCAATACTAATAGCACAATTTGGGTCAAAACTTTTTATTCTGTTCTAATACCGAAATGGTCATTTTAAGTACTTATACCAGAATGATCTTTAAAATGCAAAATTGACCATCAGTGTACCCTGCAACATAATATTATTAAAATGAAACTGTGTTTTTAAAGCATTTCATCTTGCTAACCTACAAAATTCACGATCCACATAGTTAGTCAAAGCTGGTTAAATTTTAACCACACCGCTTATATATATTTTAACCGCGCCGCACTTCCATCTAACCACGAGGTCTCGAAAGTAAGGGGCTAAAATTAGCCCATCTTATGAAAATGGAATTAACATGGGTTAATTATGGGCTAATGGACTCCAAACCACCGATTAACCACCATTAGCTCTTATTAGCCTAGAATTAGCACGCATTTAGCCTTTCTATTTGGTATTAAAAATATGGGCTAATTGTTAGCCCCTTCGACCCAAACATGCCCTAACACTAATGCAGAATCACGGCCAGACTGACTGATTCTAGTTTTGTGGTACGATAGCTTTCAGAAACTGTCATCTAAATGTGCCCGGGGGGATACCAATTAGAAAGGCTTAATGTGGGCTAATTTTGGGATAATAAATTGGTGGCTAGAGTCCATTAGCTCTTACTAGCCTAAAATTAGCCCATGTTTAATCTATTTATTGCCAACTTTTTTGTTGAGAGCCTATTTATTGCCAACTGCATGGTTGACTGGAATTTATTGTGTCACCACTTCCTCCTGACTTTGTTATGTATTGCTTCTATTTTGTTGGCCCAACGACAGGTCCATGATGAAAAACTAGTGAAGGAAAAAGTCTATTCTACCTTTGTTAACTAGTGACGTGGTTTGGTTTTCTTTCTTAAACTTTAACTAGATATCTCACCCTTAAACTCCTAAAACCATATTCAAGTTACCTCCCAGTCCTAGTTCAAGGTGGTTTCGTCCTTTTAGTTAAAAAATCTAATAAGTACTTGATAAGGTTTTAAAATCATGGAAAATGTCTATATGATCCTAAAAGTTTGATAAAAAGTTCTAGATATAGATTGAGATACAAAAATCCAAATAAAATATTTGGAGCTCATGAAAATATTTCTAGAGGCTTTAGAAAATAGATTTAGCTCTAGAAAAATAAGAAAAATGTTAAAAAAGTTTAAGGAAGTCCCCAAAACATTATAATTGATTTCTAAATGGGTTTTGAAAACTCTCAATAATAAAAAACATAAAGCACAACCAACACACATGCAACATAATTAAGAAAGTGTTTTTTGAATTTATGACAAAAACATAAAACATTTGTTTCAAAAAACCAAAAACATAAAACACAACCAGTATTAATGCAACGTCACGTAAGAAAAACATAAAAGGCACACCAAATTTTAGAAAAGCAAATTTGGGCCTTTTTGGTCTCTTCTTTTGCCTACATTTTCATGATGATTTTTTCCCAAAAAGATGCATGTTATAACTTCAGAAAGTGGTTTTCAAATTTATGATAAACTATCCCAACTAAATATATTCATCATCATCAGCACTAAACAAAATATGTTTGAGATTAAAAAAATGTTGTAACATTTACTATAAATAAAAACGTTTTAGCATAATGGGAAAAATTCAAAAAAATGTTGTAGCATTTACTATAAAAATGTTTTAGTCTAATGGGAAAAATTTCTATCTTGACAAGAAAAATATTCATCTTAATGTTTTAAAAAAAACAATTTTAGGACTTATGAGGAAATATTTCATCTTACTACGTAAAAAACTTCTAGCTTCTGAAAATTGTAGTTTAAGTAATTTTTTTCTAGAAATATATCTATTCTGTTGGATAAATGTGAAAGATTAAATGGTTGTAGGCTTGTAGCTTCAAGGCATAAGGCCGGGTTATTCCGACTTGGGTCAACGTAATCCCAATCCACAGCTTCCCTAAAGCTAAATGGGCCAACCGCATTAGTAGAAGTCATCAAACATGTACTGGCTTTCCTAAAAAAAATCATACATGTACTGGCCACTAGAGTAGAATTGCTTTCCTTCCACGGCAACATGTTTGTTTGTTTCTTTGGAGCAAAATTCACCGTACGTCCCGAACTTGGTTGGGGTGTCATCCACGTCCCAAAACTTTTAAAGTGATATCTTTGGGTCCCTAAACTTCGTAGACGGTGTTATTCAGGTCCCTAATCTTTTAGGATGATCACCGTAGGTCCCTAACTAAACTTGGCTGGTGGTGTCATCCTGATTCGTAAACTTTTAAGGTGATCACAGCAGGTATCTAAACTTGGCAAGCGGTATCATATCTGTCCAAATGTGGTCTAACCTACTCTATAAGCTGGCGTGGCATGCTGACTGTACGTTAGATGTGGATCCAACGTATGTCAATTAATCAATCATTATTTATATAATATTTATCATAAAAGTATACATTATATAAAATAATTTACATCAGCCAAAAATAAATTAAAGTATTAAAATAATTTACAACAACAAATATATTAGGTTTAAACTAAAATAGAAAAAATACTAAAATTAATTTAGTATTTATTTATCATTAATAGTATTAAAATAATATTAAAATTCTTATAGTATTAAAAGTTTTCTCTATTAAAAGTTACTTCTAATTTTAGTATTATTTTAAAAGTTTTAATAATATATTATAGAAGTAACTTTTCTATGTTATTAATACTATAATACTATTACTTTTAATAGTAGTATTATAGTAGTAGAACTTTTAATAATAGTATTATAGTATTAAAAGTTTTAATAATAATGTTATAGTATTAATAACAAAGACAAGTTACTTCTGTATTACTACTATTAAAACTTTTAAAATAATACTAAAATTAGAGCTAACTTTTAACAGAGAAAATTTTTAATACTATAGGTAACTTTTAATATTATTACATTTGGAAAGGGATGACATCGTTTGCTAAGTTTAGAGACCTACGGTGATCACTTTGAAAGTTTAGGGACCGGGATGACACCGTAAGCCAAGTTTAGGAACCTGCGGTGATCACCTTGAAAGTTTAGGGAGCTGGGTGACACCGTCTGCCAAGTTTAGAGACTCACATATGTCAATTTAGAAGTTGAGGGGCCTGGATGACACCGTCGGCCAAGTTCAGGGACCGGCGATGAATTTTGCTCTTTCCTTTGGATAAAAGTTTAGTCCTGTCATATCAAATCTTTGATACTAATTTGGAGTATTAAATATAGACTAATTACAAAACTAATTGCATAGTCTGAGACTAATTTGTGAGACGAATCTATTAAACCTAATTAATCCATAATAAATTGACAGTATGGTGCTACATTAAATATGTGCTAATCATGGATTACTTAGGCTTAATAGGTTTATCTTGCTAATTCATCTACTCCTGTGTAATTAGTTTTATAATTAACCTATATTTAGTTCTCTCAAATAGCATCAAACATCCGATATGACACGAACTAAACTTGAGTCCTGGATCCATTGCTGCGGTTTCCAAAGAATCTTTGGTCTTCCTTTGGTTTATTATTAAGGGAAGGAACGAAGTTGTTTCGTTTTTTCGTTAAAGTGTCGTCAAGTTCGTTGGTGGGTTTGTATTTGCCGTCCAGTAGATTCGATTCTAGGTCCTTGAGACCTTAAACACGGCTGGAGCTGGATTGCTTGCTAGATAGATGACCAGGAAGGAAACCGACGACGACTCCTGCACCCAGTCATGTTTGTACTTTTCTATGGTGCGAGAAAAGCATCGTATTGACGTTGACGAGTTGACCCGGGGTTTAGCCTATTCGCTTCGTCGTAAACGATCGTAAATTTTATAGCCAGAATAGTATTTTTCTCTCACACCAAATCAGCCAGCAGTAATAATTCATGATCGTATACGATCGTTTCAGCCCCAGCCGAACAGGATGAAGAAGGGTGGTGGACTCGGTTCCACACACATGCATGTCTATTCCAACTTGCGTCCCTTTTCGGTAAAATATAACATCAATCAATTGCTTCTACGTGGCTTCTAAGGCCATTCACACTCAGACTTCAGCCATGCTAGTTATTTTAGGGCCTTTTTCTTGATGTTTTGGCAAGGCTCCGTGCTATTTTCTTTCTTTCCTTTTTTATTTCTTGAATTTCGTGAACTCTGTTGTACTTCTTTTTATCCACTTTTAATTTAAATTCCTGCAGGGGCTTAGCCCCTCCGGTTTCTTAAAAAAAAAAAAAAAACAATGGCAAACGTGAGGACCTTAAAAGCTACAATTAATACCAACAATTGAGGACAGTATGGCACAAACCAAATACTTCCGTAAAATAA